AGGTATTTATTGGATGAACTTTATTTAATACCTCTTTGCAACACAGAAAACCCTCTGACCAGTGTCCTTGTGTCTATCCTGGTGCACATGAGCATGTTTTCCTCCAGGGTGAATACTGAGGAGTCAGTGACAGGGTCTCTTCCTGTTTAGTACAAGATTCCCATCAATGCCCTGAATTAATTGAGTCAGTGATAAAACAGGCATTAATTCATGAAAATTATAAGTGGTTATTATTTTACCCCAATATGATGTTGCTCTTTTCTTTGGCCTCTCATGTGGACCTGACTGGGTTTTGTAGAATTATTTATTGAATCCCTGCATCACACTGGGATGGAAATTGCAGTAGAGACAGCAGGGAGCCCAGGCACACGCTGAGCCACCAGAGAGATGAGCTGAGGCTCCCCACCCTCCTCCACATTAGAGATGTCACGCTGCCGCCCGGAATAGGGGAGGAAACATTCACACCACAGAAATGTGCCTCAAACCCACGTTTTTTGATACATGATGATTTCAGAGCAGGCTTTACCAGTGCAGCACTGAGCTGGCACAATGAACACCAGCCTCTTGGTTCCAGTTCACTTCTAGAGAAACCACCCAGGGCTGTTTCATGAAATGAGTGTGTCTCAGGGAAGCATTTTAGATTTAACAGTTAGAGGTAGGAATCTGATTTTTGATTAGTCCCTGTTGGCTGGCATAATGAACACATTTATCATGGGCATCTATAGGGGTACATAACACATTTTAAATCTCTTTTGTCCTCTACCCCTCAGAGGTCTATCTGCTCCTTCCAAGTCTTGGTCTCTTTCCCATTTTCAAATGCTCTATTTCTGGTGTTTTTTTACATTTTCCCCCATGCCCTTAGCTTCTCCTCCTTCCTGTAATCTTATTTCTGCCCATTGTTGTATTATTAAAACCAGATTCTGTGTTGGAAGTGAAGAAATTGACTAAACATCATGCATTGAGGAATGGGGTGATTGCAAAAAAGTGGGATCCATTGCATCAGAGATACAGCACTTGGGATCCAAGTGCAGCAGAGAGTGGTGAGTGCAGATGTGCTCAGGGCTGATGGAGGACGGCACCATCCAGGGAAAGCCATTCAGTGGAGAGAGAGTTCTCTGCACAGAGCACCACAGACTCCCCTGCACCCAACCTTGTCACCCCCCCAGGCCTCCCAGTGGATGGGGCCCCAACTTGAATCCAGGACTTTCTCCTGGAACCGCCTTGGCATGTAGGGTTTCTGTCCAAGGCCCAGCCACTGCGAGCACTTGTGGGAGACCCAGGCTGTGCTCTCTGGAGAAAGGAAGCGCCCTGCCCCTGTCTCACCCTGACCTTTTCTTCACCCTATTCAGCGAGATGTGCAAAGTTGGATATCTTAAAACAGATGTTCCCTTAGTTGGCTAACTGAACATTATCGAGTCTGGTCGAGGCCGAACCACTGCAAGCACTTATGGGAAGCCACCAGGCTGCACTCTCTGGAAAAAGGAAGCTCCCATCCCTGTCCTTGTTGACCTCTCCTTTACTCTATTCACTGAGATGTGCAGAGCTGGCTACATTTAAACTCATATTCCCTTAACTGGCTAAAAAATGTTATCGAGTCAGCCTGAGGCACGAGTGGTTTCATTATCAGCAAAATGATAACATGTGGGTGAGAATAGCCCTGGTGCTGATGGCTGGAATGGAAGCTTGAGAAGAACCTGTGAGATTCCAGGGTTACAGCAGGAGATAACATCTCAGCCTAGGCCTTGAAGCGCAGAAAGAAGGATACTTTCCTAGCAGTAAAGGTGCCAGCCTTGCTTATCCTTATATTGCTAACTGGAGGCCTTATTCCTGGTGCAGAATTTCTTTGTTTCTCCTTGTAGCCATGCTTGCAAAGTTTATTTCCTTAGCACTCTGCATGACCCCCACCCACCTCCCTGATTGATAACAATACAAGCCAGGAGCTTTTAGACACAAAGCCTTTTGTTCTCCAGAGAACACTGGGTCATCCCAGAGCTCCTCAACTGCAGAAATTTCTCGCTTTGTCTTTAGTTTGCATCTGTGTGCTGTACTGTTAGGTGGGATAGACTGATAATGCTCCACAGAGGTTTTGGTAAGCACTGATTGCTACTTCTTGTGTTTATCTCCCGGCAGCATCTAGGGTCCTTCTCAGACTGTGCTGAGCTTGGAAGAGCAGAATCCTGAGGGACACAAGGACCAGGCCAGCCAGGCCCATCTTGGTGAGATTCTCCACTGTGCAGTCCTGAGGCTGTGAGGCTGGGGATGGGGACAAAGAGATCACAGAAGTCAGGACAGACCAGAACCCTGGATCCCTGTATGTCCACTTGCGCTCCTGGACATAGCTTGAGCCCCTGTGTGCAGCCCCATAACTGAGAATTCTCCTTCCTCACCTGTCCTGGGCTCTGGATTGTTCTGGGATGGAGTGAGAGTCTCAGCCACTCCTACTAACTAAGGAAGACGAGTGGGACACGTGAAGCTTTGAACACATGAGCCTTTCCCCCAGCCCCACATCCTTGTGTCTCCATAGCATGACAGACGTGATGCAGACCCTGAGTGAGCCCTTGCCTGCTACAGCAGCGTTCCCTCTGGTGGCTTAGATTCTCCATCCTCACCTGCTGCTTGCATTCAGGATGCGTCTGTGTCTCTTTGGAGCAAAGGTTAGCTGAGCTCAAAAGCTTAGGATTCATGACAAAAGTGATCTCCCATTCATCAGTAGCCAGGCCTGTGAGCTCTGTGTTCAGTGTGGGACACAGAATGATGTGAGTGAACTCCACTGGAGAGGAGTTTCCTGATCCACCAGCTGAGGACCCAGGGCCCAGGGGCAAAGCCTGGTCCTCAGGGCTCTGGAGCATCAGGAGCACAGGGGCTGGAGTCTGGGGCGGCCCCGTCACCACCCAGGCGGGTCCCCTGCGGCTTCATCCTCCCTGTAACTTCTGCTAACTCATCATCACGCAGTTAGAGACATCTAAAATGCAGTGCACACACTTGGACATGGACACACGCGTGTACAAGTGCATGTGTGTTTGACATGGCAGCAGCGTCAGTGCTTCATAGAAACAGGGCTTCTGCTGTTCAGGATGGAAGTCCGTGTTGGAGGACCAGTAATGAACAAGGAACAACACTGAGAATATGGATGAAAAACTGTAGAAAACAAATATAAATAGAACTAGATACGTGAAGAATTATCCATTTGTACATACTTGGATTACAGTGGATACATGTATGACCACCTACATCCAAATCTGAGGCAGGAACATCTGTGTTCAATTGAGATGTTAAGAAACAGAATTTCCACTTTAGTGTACTTGACATACATTTTATCAGTAATCAAAAAAATTGTTTCCCCTCTCCAAGCTTTTGGAGAGGGGAAAATAAAAAATTGGTATGAAATGAAAGGATTATACCCAAATCAACATCTTTTGATTTTATACTGTTATTTTTCAGAAAATAGAAACCAAAGAATTAACTCTCAAATAATAAAATCAGTGGACCAATTTTAAAGTTGTCTATAAATATTACTAATTATTATGAATGGAACTTTGAAATGTTTCCAAAGTTCGTAAAGCTCAATTTAAATATCTTAGGTAAGAAGATTTGATACTGAGATATTATTCTTTGTAACTGATATACAAATATAATCTATTCCTCTGAAAACAGAAATGCAATTAATTATATTTAGTATAAATCGGTACGCCTATAAATATATTTCTGCAGAGAAGTACAACTTAACATTTGCAAAAACACAGCAAAAGCACAGAAGTGTAAACAGAAAATGCGCAATGAATGAAACAGGACTGCACAGAACACCCGCTTGGTGGTGACCCTGAGTGAGCCCGAGAGCAGTGCAGGACCCATCCGGAGTCTCAGGGGCGCCCTGAGCGCAGAGGCCGCCAGGTGGCGCAGGAGGGGCCGTGCCCGCGGTACCCCCAGCCTGGTGCTTCTCTCTGCAGGAGCGGCCCTGCTGGGGGCGCAGCCTCACTCACAGTTGGATTCCAGCGAGGCTGCTCTCTGTCCACCAGGGCCCTCCTTCCTGCCTGGACCTCAGACACCTCCATTGCTCTGACCCCCGGGCAGTGTCACCCTGTCCTCAGAGCCCCAGGGAGCCACCAGGCTCCCTTAATGTCCCCTTAAATGCTCCTCTGGGACTGATCCTGCGCTGAGAATTGCACGCAGTGCTGCGCTGCATCTGGACTCCCGTGGGTCAGGGGAGCGTGTCTCCACCAGCCATGCGGCAGGGCCTGTTGTTGTGCTGGGACAGCAGGGGAGCTGCCTGTGAGGTGGGGACATCAGGAGAGGGCTGGGCCCTGTGCCCCCCTCAGTCCAGCCCCACTTCCTCTGACCTCATCTGTGTCTCCCGTGCCCCTCTCCTCTTCGCTCCATGGGAGATGTCAGGGTGGGAGCCCCGGGCAGGGAGCTCCGTCTGCCTCGGCCTCCTCACGGGGACGCTCCCCTGTGCACCTCCCCTCCACCTCCGCCATGTCCTGGGCTCAGACCCGAGCTGGGGCAGGACACAGAGTGACCTTGTGGGCTCAGGGGACAGGGACAGAGACCCTCACCGGGACACGGAGTCAAGAAGGAGGCCTGGGCCATGCAACCTCAGGAGAATCCTGGGCGACACAGAAGGAAGGGGCAGGCGGGACTGAGCCCGGGGAGTCTGACCTCCAGCCTCCTTCTCCCCACCAGAGCTGGGCTCCCTGAGCTGCAGGGAAAGAATCTGAACGCTGCTGCTCTGCCGGGCACCCTCCCCACTGTCACCGTCCCTGCACAGCGGGACAGGACCGCTGCAGAGTCACATCCTGGAGGCTCCCCTGGGAGGCCGCCTCTCCAGGGCTCACAGCAAGCTCAGCAGGAGAGGGACTTGAAGGTCGGGCCCAGGCCTCCCTTTTACCCCTGGAGAAGCTGAGGCCCGCACAGGAGGGGCTGGTCCAAGTCAGCGTCTCCAGAGGAGGCTGCACCCGCCCCACAGCCCAGCCCCGGACCCTCCCAGCAGCGCCCGCACTCACCACCCTGGGGTCCAGACTCTCGCGTGAGGGGCTGATGGTGAGGGCCTCCTCTCAGGGATGGGGAGGTGAGGGGCTGTGCTCCTTGTTCCTCATTTCAGCTGCTGCTCCTCTCCCAGGCTGTACCCCACATTCCCCTCAGCTTTCAAACCACCCCATGCAGGCTATATACTGAACCTCTGGATATCTAGATTCCATTTCCACTTCTCTGTCCCTGGACACCAGCACAGCCGAGATTGGAACCAGGACCGAGGTGGGTTGAGAGTCTCTAGGCAGCCTGGACACTGGACAGTGGAACAGAGCCCGAGGTTGTCCTGCTGTAGAGCTGGGTGCTGAGGGAGGGGGTGAGGCTGTCCCTGGAGGGAAGGACTTCAGAGGGGGCGGGGATGGGCTTGCCCAGGAATGGACCTCTACCCTCTAATCTACCTGTGCTGTGGTCTCTGCCCAGAGGGAACATTCTACACAGGAAGGATGGGTGGCAATGACATACCTAGGAAGAGTCCACTTCTTGTCAGTTCTCCCTGAACCTCTCACATTCACCAAGCCCAGGGTTGCGCAGAGAAATGGTCAGAGCAACCCGGAGCTCAGCTATGCTGGGATCACAGGCAGCTTACCTGACACTGTGAGCTCCAGGGGGTCCCTGGGCTGTGACAACAGGTGGGGGAAGGGTCTGTGAGAGCCATAGCACCTGTAGGTCCCCCCGAGGGCTGAGCTCACAGCTCTCATGGAGAATTCTGCCTGCGACTGCTGAGCTGGGGACTCTGTTGTCAAATGCAGGAGTGGATTGTCTGTCCGCTCCTTGGACAGAAGGAAAGTGTCCACTGGGGTCTGTGACTGACACAGCAGGGTCACACTCTCTCCTGAGGACACCGTGGGTCCCGGCTGCACCGAGAGGGAGGGTGTGCCCGGGAGCTGTCCTGGAGAGAAGGAGGGTGGTGAGGGCGGCCCCAGCTTGCTCTGAGCTGAGGCCTCAGCAGGGCTGTCTCTGAGGACCCTCGGTCTCTGTCTGTCTCTGTTTCCTCTGACTCTGCCCCTCCTGCCCTCCCCCGTCTCTCTCTCTCTCCCTCCCTGACACCCACCCCCACCCTGGCCATCACCTCCTGGGCTCCCCCAGCAGGGCCTGGGCAGGGTCTGGGCCCCTGACTGAGCCCTGGGCTCCTCACCTGTGATCAGGATGTCCAGGGGGTCACTGAGGGCCGACCACTTACAGGAGATTCTGTGTCCACCGTAGCATCTGTAATGGCCCCCTGTGGTAGCCACTCCCAGGGCCCAGGGGGAAGTCGGCCTGAGAGAGCCCAGCCTAAGGCTACTGGCCAGGGTGCTGGAGGAGGTCACCTGTTCCCTCCTTGGACAGAGCAAATCTGTCATAATTGAGGTCAGAGTGACATGAGATTGTCAGGTCATGTCCAGGGGCCAGAATAGGGCCGTGCTGGGTCAGGAGGGAGGGCTTCCTGGACAGCCCTGGAGAGAGGAGAGGCCGAGATGAGGGGCTGTTTCCTCCTACACCCCTGCCCTCCTGTCCTGCCCTGTAGGTCTCCCAGACTGTCACATTGAGGTTTCTAGCTCTACAGATTTCCTGATCCAACCTCTTCCTAAGATCCTCTGCAGCAGGACCCCTCCAGTTACTTGGGGACTCACACAAGTTTGGGACAAAGAAAGGACATTCTCGCCTGAGAACAGGAGCTGCAGGACATCACTGGGCTCTGACCACACCTGGGGCTTCCTCCTGTCATAGCTGTAGCGTCTGAACATCCACCTGTGCCTGGGGGTCACAGGGCCCACATGGAACAGGGCCTGGACCTGCCCACTGGGGCCTCGCTGTGAGTCCAGGGTCCAGGAGAGCTTGTCTCCTCCTTCCTTAGAATGAACCTGTCAAATCCCAGCCTTGAGCCGCACTGAAGGGTGATGTTCCCTTCTGAGGTTACCACAGGGCTGAGAGGCTGGGATTGCTGGAGACTCCTAGGAGAGAAGGAGGCAGCGTGTGAAATGGACTCACACCTCCCACACTGTCCCCAGGGCTGGGCTGTGAGGGGGGGCACCCCTGACAGCAGACCCCTTCCTGAGGGCAGAGCCTGTTGCTGGGCCCTGAGTGTCCCCTCACCTGTCACCACCAGCTCCAGGGGCTCACTGCGCTCTGACCAGCCAGCAGGGTTTCAGGGCTAACAGCGATGCCGCCCTGCATGCTGCTCTGCCATGGATGGGATGGAGAACACGGCCCTGCTCTTGAGTTCCAGTGATGTTTGTCTTGTCCAGGGCACTTGGCTTCCCTTTTTGTACAGACCATATTCCTGGGCCCCCAGAGACCCCTCACAGCAGAGGTTCACAGGATCCCCCCGTGGTATCACAGATCGTGGCTCAGCAGAGAGCTCCGTTTTGGGGAGGGTCCCTGCAAGAAAATCACAGCTGGATCCCAGGACCTTCTTCCTCCCTCAGATCCCACTTCACAGCCCCAGAACCCTCCAGACCTCCCCAGCACTGACCCATACCGGCTGTGCTCCATCCCCACTGCCCAGGGGTGGCCCCCTTGTCCCCAGGAGGAACAGGGGCCCAGAACAGCTGGGGACACACTCACCTGCCCGCACTCGTGTCTTGGGGCCCAGACAGTCCTGGAAGAGAGTTCCCTGTGAGAGGTTCACCCTGGAGCCTGATGTGGTCCTCTCCTTCCTGGATCCTCCTGAACCCCTGGTTCCTTGATAGGTCAGGGCTTGGCTGTGGGGTTCCAGACTAGGGGTTCCCAACCCCATGTTCAGTTCTCACTAATAAGAGCAGGGCCATGAGTGTGGCGGTCATGGCGTCTCCTACCTCCAGGTGAGACTGTGGACGGATGAGACCACAGTGCCTGACACAGAGTTTCACAGCTAGAGACTGGCTTCTGCCCTTCATAGGGTGGTCACACCAGTAGCCCCACAGAAAGCGGAAGTGACATCTGCAGGCACGGATAGCTGGTCTGTTTTTCCCCAGGGCACAACCTGGCTGGGCTCCAGGCTGATGTGGCTGATGTGGGATTCCCCTTCCTTCCAAATGTGATTGATCCTCACCTCATCGATTCCAGAATACAGCAGCCAATACACCTGGAGCACCCCTGCCCCGAGCTGGCCCCTTCCAGGGCACGGTTCCCTTGTGCTGGACCTTCCTCTCACAGCTTCCACACGGACCTCCTCCCTCCCTCAGTCCATCCATCTGCACAGCACCATCTTCCTCACTGTGGCCGTCCTCCCCCAGCCCTGGGGATGCTCCGGGGAAGATGCAGGTCCTGCTGCAGGTGGGCGAGAGCAGAGAGACGCTGAGCCATGACTGGAAAAATCTCCACGAAGGTCAGGGGCAGGGAGCAGAGACGCCCAGGTGGACAGTGCACAGGGCGTTAGGGAAACTCAGATTTGGAAGCAGTGAGGCGGGGATTCTCCTGGAAGGAAGAAGTCAGTCGTATTAAGGTGATGGAAAATCAACTCTTGCAAGTGTGAGCTTTCTTAATTTCCATTTTTTAGTTCCTTGGAGTTCCTTGATAAGTTGTTCATTTGAAATCTTTCATATTTCTAACAAATTTAAATCATATGAATTCAAAACATACAAATTTCTGATTAAAAGCTTCCTTCTTACTACTTCTTTTGCTTTATTGCATGATTTTTCATATTTTAACTTAATTGCTGTGATTGAACTCAGGCCCCCAGGCATCCTAGGAAAGTGCTGTACTACTGAGCTCCATCCCAACCCCTTTTCAAATTGTGTATTCGTGCAGCGTTTCTCTAAGATGCCCAGCATGGCCCTGCCTCTTCTCTCCTCCTGTGCCTGTGGTAGATTTTTACTTTGTGGGTTCTGTGAGGTTTACAGAAGACCTGCTACACTTTCTATCCCCATTCTAGTCTCATAAATCGCATAAGGTCAGCTCCTGGAAGTGGACACACACACTGCGGTTTGCATTCACATCCCAATTGCCCTCACACTTTTCTGTCCCCTGCAGGCTTATGAGTTAGACAGAACAGAGAAACCAGTGAAAGCCGGGAGGAGGACTGCAGGGTAGATGAAGGCTCAGCTTGCTGGACTCTGTTCACGACCCTGTGCTTCTGTCAGGAAACAAATCCCAGCAGCACAGTCTTTTGTATTTTAACTTCTCTATTTGGAGTCAGGATAACCTGGAGTGGAAAGTTGATTGTTTCTTTCAACTCTCCCCAAGACCATAAACCTGACCCCTGGCTTTCTCTGCTTTCCAGCATGTGTGAAAATCTCTAGGAGTTGTGGTAACAGCTGTGCAAATCAAAGAGCCAACAACACCACGGTGTAAATCTAAACCCAGGACTCCCCCAGATCCCAGTGTACTCCTCTCCCGCCCCCACTGCGACAGCCACTTTGCTTCTCGGTGGACAGGAAAGGCCCTCATCCACCGCAGCTGAGCAGCGTTCTGTGCCGTCCTCGCCACAGCTGCCCTTTCTGAGAACTGGGTGGAGGTGGTCAGAGGTTGGGGTTATTTATAGCACAGGCTGCGCAGATTAAATTTTCTGTAAGGTATCTTGATTCTCTGTTTTAGTAATGATTGAGGCGGGGTGGGGGAGGGTCAGGAGACAGGAAGTGAGCCAGCAGGGATGGCCCAGTTGGTGCACACTCGCTCTTCCAGGACCCATTGGGAAAGAGAGGGATGTCACATTTTGAGCACAATTTATCCACAGGGCCAGGAGGAAGGGATCCTTAGCCCCATATCTGAGTCAGGAAAATGGGTGCTTCTGGGGTTTAGTGACCAGAACTTGCAGGGCCATGTGTTGAGCCCCAGGGTCTGACCCCAGCTTTCCCTTTGAGGGCTGTGCTACCACCATCCCTCACGAGGGCTCTGCTGGCTCCCCTGGAGCTGGGCCTGAGCAGGGCCTCTGGACACAGGGTGGACAAGAGCAAGTGTGCCTTCTACCTGTGAGCACAGTGTGCAAGATGTCTGTGTGAAGAGCACAAAAAGAGGTTGTGAGTGTCTGCTGTAGAACAGCTGTAGGTCCACTTGTGCACTGTAGTTACAGGGTCACACTGAGCTTGTTGAAAAGCCCATGCTGGACCTCAGGATGGAGGGACTCCTCTGAGTACTTTGAATACCATGGCTTTGAAAAAAATATGGTGATATAGCTCCTCAGGGCTCTAAGGCTTTGCAAGGATGACCGGGGGGCTCGTGATGAGCATGCAGGAGAGAAGGAGGCACAAACATTAGAGAGAGAGGTGTGGGCCTCTGCTCCCTCTCACACCCCTGAGGGGCTTTTCCTCCTTCATATTCTTCAAAGGTTTATCTTCCAAACCTGAGTCTCTTGATGCCCAGGACTACCAGGTACTTGGCCAGAGTCAATTCCTCTCCAGAATGGACAACACAGTCCTCCCTAGAGTAACAATTTTGTTTAGAATATTATTAAAATCTGAGCTATCTCTTTTAAAATATACTGTATCATTATTAATACAGGCATGAGGGTATAGGGTGAAACCTTCCAGGTTCAAGACCAATGGGAAATTACCAGTTGAATGGGTAAAAATGTGCTATTTATTCACAATGGAGTTCTATTCTACTATAAAGAAGGACAGACATAAGTCACTTATGGATAACTTTGAGAATATAATGTCAAGTGAAATAAAGCAGACTCATGAGCTTAAATATGGCATAGTTTTTCTTAGGTGAGGAAACCAAAATATAAATAAGGAGCAAAATAAGAGATAGATAATAGGAATTAGGGAGTCAGGTCTTTTCCAAATGGGAAGGAGAAAAAGGTGTAGGGAGAGTGGAGGGAGAGTAAATGAAAAATGGAACTGAGCTGTGTTGTGTCCATGGAGGACCTCCTCAGAAAGGAGTGCAATCATTATGTAATGCAAACGTGTACACATCAAAAGTAAAAACGGAAGAAATAAAATGGAAAAAAACAATTCCCATACACAAGTATGCGCTACATGGTCAGGGAGGTCACTGCCTGCTGATCAGTCCTTCTGAGACTTCGCAGCTCGCAGCTCGCAGCTCGATACCACGGTGCACGGTGGACGAGGTGCAGAACGAGAGAGGCAGCTCCTGGTCTGTGCTTCGAGCACTGGGTGGACGTGGGCTTCCTCCTCCCGGAGGTGATTCCACCTCAGCCCGGACACCCAGACTCTGAGCTTCACAAGCTCCTTCAGGAGGCTAAGGAAGCCCCGGTAGATGTCTAGGTAATGTCTGCAGAACAGAAAGCCCTGAGGTTGCAGGGGACCCACTTCTGTGTTGCTGTTAGAGTCCACCATGTCATCTGCCTCAGTCCCACCGCATTCACCTCGCAAGCCCTTTGCGTGTGGTGAGCACAGCACCCTGGGGTGGGGAGGACTCACCACTGTGCGCGGAGCATCTGCCCCATCAGATCCCGGAGGGAAGCCACACCACAGACAGCCCAGCCCCACGGGGACTGTGTCCTCAGTGACTGTGCCTGGTCTTGGTGTCAGCCTTAGCAGCTCAGCCTGGGCTTGAACGCGCGTGAACTCAGGCTCCTCAGGGCTCCCTCCTCCCGCCTGGGCTCTGGAGATCCCGAGTCTCTGCGGTGGGGTTTTCCACCATCATCCTCTGCAGCCCTCCCTTCTAGAACCTTCCAAGATGCAGAAAGAGAAGAATTTGGGGCCTATCACTTGTTCTGTGGGGCAAGACTAGAAGCCATCCAAACCTGGCAAGTGAAAATGGTGTGGTTGCCATGGCCGAATATCACACTCTGCCAATTGCTGTGGTGCAAACTCCACAGGAAGTGAGCAGCTTCTTCTCACCCTAAGGCAGCGGGGCAGTGTGCTGTGGAAACTTTGCAGGTGAGATCCGGGGTTCAGTGCCCTCAGAGCAGGCCCCACTGAGCACAGTTGCTGAGTAACGCCACGAGCCTACACTGTGAATTTAATGCTGCTTTGTGCTCAACTCTATAAATATATTTTAATACATCTCACTGCCATTTGTGACATCTGTGTGTGATTCACTTCATATTATTCAGTGTTCTATGGCCATATGAACATACTGATCAGTACTGAAATACTGATTGTGTATAAATAAAATGACTGCTCTTTATTCATTTCACCTCTGTTCTTCAAAAACTTCAGTTTAGTAGATGATAGATTTTTTTTGAACTTCTCTATTCATTGTGTCCTGGCTTATTATTTTTTCTTCCAGAAATTACGTCCATCATCTTATGTTTGGTTTGTTCTCTGGTCCTCTCTTACTATAGATCTAGAGTGTGTAGCAAACATTTGTTATATTTTTCATTGTAACTTGAATTTTTCAATTTTTATTTTTTATTAAAACATGTTAGCAGTACATAATGGTTACACTACTCATGGCACATGTACTAACACATACTAATTACTTTGTCATCCTCTTCCACTATCCTTCTTCCCCTTCCCACTCTCTCTTGGGTGTGAGCACAGAGAACATACCATGTTGCATTATATTTAAAATGGCAAGACTGCAGCACGAGGAAAACACCTTGAAACCAGCAAGTGAAAAATGTCAAGTCACTTATGGAGGCAAATCCATCAGTTACCTTTAGACTTCACTACAGAAATCCTAAAGACTGGGAAGGAAGGCATGCTGTGATGTATTTCAAGGCCTGGAAGAAAATATCTGCCAAAGTAAATACTATATTTGGTAGAGTTATCATTTAAAATTGAAGGGAAAATAAATAAGGACCCTCCAACATAAGCATAAAATACAGAAGTTTATGATGACTAAGTCAACTTTGTAGAGGATAATTAAGTATACTACACACAAAAGGAAGAAAAGGCAATCTCTTGC